CCTCTTTACAAGAATCTGGTTTTTCATTTGTCTTAAATTGTAAAAATATCAATAAATGTTAAAAATCATTAGATATTTTTATCTTTATAATGTCACCCCTACTGGCCACAAAAAATTCCTCCAACAAACTTAAAGTGGCCCACGAGCCACCAGTTGATAACAGTTGTAGCAGGTTGTCGCGGCTCTGGACACTGAATTTAGTGAATGAAGGTGTAAAAATGGCTCTTTTGATTATAAAGGTTGCAGACCCCTGGTGTAATTCATATCTAAATATCGAAAATGTGCTTAAAACTCATCACCGTTATTGAATAAAATATATTGTGATGCATATCGATATCAAATTATTGTCCAGCCCTATCTAATGGGTGTGAAGTAAATGAATTTACTTAAAGTTTGGATTTGTTTCATCAATTTACAATGGCTTCCTAAAGAGCAAAATGGTAAATGGACTGTTCTTTTCTATCTTTATAAAGATACTCAAAGTACTTTACAACACAATCTGTGCCTCATTTACCCATTCATACAGCACTCTTTTATTTTTGTATTAATAATAACCAGTGCTTTATCACATTTGTACACTGATGGGACACACATCGGAGGCAATGTGGGGTTCAGTGTCTTGCCCAGGGACACTTCGGTATGTGACTGCTGGTGGAATCTATCCCCCAACTCTTGCATTGGAGAACGACTGCTCTAACCACTGCTGCCCAGGAGTACTACACCTTAAGGCAGTTCTGCATTTCTATCAATAACTGGCATCATAAAAGTGAATCTTGGAGGTGCCCCTCTGCTTTTTGTGTAGATTAGATTTTGTATCTGGGATCACTGTAACTTTCTACAGTCGGTTCACAGAGCAAGACAAACTCAAGAAATTAAAATTCAAAGCAACATAGCTGAAATCCTTAGCAAGTTGTTGAGATTCTTCATAGTAAATTAAGAAAACACACAACTGTCAGTGCGTTCACATTTTAGTTTTTACTTGTTCGGCTGACTGCGGGGAAACTGAGGTCAAGCATGGTCAAACAGCTTTCCCCACCCCCGAAGCGAAAGGTATTCCTAAAACAAATTTGGTTATACATACATAGATGCATAGAAGATGCCTGTTTACAACAATGGTAAATGTGACATCAAACTGTTGTAATTCAGTTCTGTTTCTTTTTTTTATCTAGAGTTTAATAACTTTACCATCGTAGTAATTATTATTATTTTTTTACAGTGCTCAAACTAAATGAACAAGAGTCCAGTGGGTCCCATTGATGCGCTTGCACGCTGATTTTAATTTTGTATTTCTGCATTTATCCGAAGCTGCCTGTTTTTGGATAATAATAGCCCAATAAAATGAAATGTTATGAGGAAACTCAAAGGTTAGGTTGATCTAAAGGGTTTTGTGTTGTGGTGCAGGTTCTTGTCTACCAGAGAATAGTGATGCTGCAGGAATTATCTTTGTCAATGACGACGCTTTGAATTGCGAGAAAAAGTTAATACGGCATCGATACACATACGTCAGAGCCGCGGGCCAAATCTGGTCCCCCAAGATGATAATTTAAATGTAAAATATTGTATCTCTTCTAATGTTTTCTTTAAAAAAACAACTGATAAATATATCATTTAGTGTTGACTTCTCTTGCCAGCTGGCTAACTTTGAAGCAAGAAAGAAGGTTGGATCATTCTGTCATTATTGATACTGATGTGGACCGAGTAACAGAACGTCAAGTGAGACTGATCAAACTCTTGTTCGTGAACCTGCAACCAAGAAAAGATATCCGGTATCTGACTCGAGCTAATGTATCAGCTGAAAGTAGCCTGTGCCTCAGTTTTTTTTTTTACAATTTTGACTCCCTTTTAGTAACTGAGTTCGACACACCTACAATATGACAGAGCAGCACATTCTCAACACAATTAAAACTAGTCAAAGCATTGGTAATTAACTGAAGCAAAAGTTCCAACAAAGTGAAGTCAGGTGCTCTGGACGGATTCTTCTTGTTGAAATATTTTGTCTTTTATCCAAAAGACTTCGTCAGTCTGTCTTTGTCAAGACTGACCAAGTCTTTTGGATAAAAGACAAAACGTTTCAACAAGAAGAATCCGTCCAGAGCACCTGACTTCACTTGGTTGTATTCTTCTACCTGGATTATTGAGCATGTATCAGGATATGATAGTTTAAAACCTGGAACACCCACCCATGATCTAAACTGAACAAGCTTTCAGGTGAGAGGTGACCTGTCTTCAAAATAACAAGAAAAGCCATTTAACTACCTTTTTATATGAAAAGGAGGAAGGAAGTTAATTAAAAACAAAGCTTGCACTTTGTGTGAATCAGATTCAGCATTCACATTTATTCTGTAGTTTTTTTTAATTAATTTTACTGCATAGTTTTTTTTTGTGATCTATTTCTGTATATAACTTTTACAACTTTTTTCCTTATTGTACTTTGGTTAATCTTTTTGTTATTTTTAGCGTTGGCTAGCATTCTATTTTTCATTCAACCTTTATTTATACAGCCTAGCCTCATTGAGCTATGAGGACTCATGTACAATTTCTGTTTCTACCGTAATTTTCACTGTGTAAGTTGCAGTTTTTTGCATAATTTGGCATATGACTTATAAAGCGAAGCAACGTATTTATGTTTTTCCCCATATCCCTATTTTTGGCTGAGATCTGACGATTTAATTCATTCTGACATGGAAAATATTGAACGCTACCTTTTTAAGGCACTAGAGGGCCCTCGACTAATATGGCAAGCCAAGTATCTCATTAATAGTTAAAATTGGCTATTAATGAGACACTTGGCTTGCCATACCAAGCCACCTTCGTCTCACTCCTGTACTCGTGGAGCAAACTTCAAATCAGCTGCATTTTGCCACGCCGCCCAGTCGAAATGCAGCTGTTAAAGTGCCATTAAAGTGCATTTATTAAGGAAAAGTTCAACTGAGACACACCTTTGCTATAATTTCGAGCAAACAAATAATTGTTTTGAAGTGTTAATTTGGTTAAATTCTTGTTAAAATCCTCCCCTGCACGCTCCCATCGATTTTTGGCACAACACCGACCCACATTTCCAAGTTTGCAGCGGTGACGCATAACAAACACGACGCGTCAGCAGTGATGCATTATAGATGCGACTTATACAACGAAGTGACGTATTTGTTTTTTTCTACTTTATTAGACATACAGTATTTGAACTGATGCGACGTTTACGGCGGCAAGTACGGTGCTTTTAGCTTTAGTGTTTTGCTTTTTTGGAGGTGTTTTAGCTGGTATTTAGCCTTTTTGTCTTTAACAACTCAGTTGGTGCTTCAGTAAATCTCAGCAGTCATCCATCACTCAGCATTCTCTAGTTTAAATAAATAAAAATAAAAAATCTTTACGTTGCTGTTTTGTGTTTTTCCTTTGTTCTGCTTTAGAGTCACACAATTGAAAACCCGACACGTTTTAAGTGTAGCATTTCTTTTTAATAAAGTTTATTGTTTAATTCTTTAAATCCATTTGTTCTAGTCAAGCTGGAGAACTAAATCTCAAATTCAACAAAAGCTGTCTTTTCAACTAAATTAAGAATGCCCAAATAGATGACTTTGGAAGTAGATGTCCCAACTTACAAGAGTTGCGGCAGGATTTTTCCAACATGTTTAACACAAAAAGCTCAAGGGTAAAACTTCATAAAGGCAGCAGACATTTTACACAATGAAGGAGAACACTTTATAATTTGTTCCTCTAGATGATGGGTGTATTTTATGGTAGAAAACACAGGTTTCTGATATGTTTTGAAGCTGTTTGAGCCAAGGTCAGCTCTCGCACCACATAGCTGATACGACACTGTTGAAGAAAACAAATTGTCAGCCTCCTCTCACGAGTTATTTTCTCCGATGTTGCGGCTATTTCTTTAATACAGATGTGCATTTTTGATATTTGTTCTTTGTCACTTCTTAGACTTGCTGCACACTGAATTGATTTTATTTGATTAAAAGCATGCAACACTGCAGCAGTTCATGGCTTTTAGGCTGCAGAGTACGTAAAGAAGGCAATAAAGGAAAGGCTAAATGGGAAATATACAAACGCAGCATTGTTCTCGTGTGGAAGCAAAAGAATATGAAGAAGCCACGGATGAGTGTTGTGATTCTAGGCAGCATCGCACACATCAGGTCATAATAAACAGAGGTTCATTTCCCAAAGTAGCCACACTGACAGAGTATGGATGCTGATTTAAATAAGTTTATTGTACATATATTGTGGAGGCTGCAGTTGTGTACTGCTAATGTTTTATTAATGAAATGAGTTTATTTCTATCTGTGGGAAAAAAAAATCTGCATGGAGCAGTGGTGATAAAGAAACTAAACGTGTTTAGTTGTTGGCAACTTTTTAACTAAATTCTGCTTGGCTCTGGTTACTGTAAATCAGAAGTTGAGTTTGGATTGTAATAAGGCAAAGACATTCTGCCAAAATGTACTGTATACTTTGGTACTTGTATACAAGTATTTTCTCCCCGTTAGGAATTTGCATTCTAATAACTCCAAAGTGTCTGTACTGCAGAGAGAATCCTTTGTAGCATGAAACCAGAAGCATTCCTAACAGGTCCGACAGTACCTGCCTGCCTGCACTAGTCACAATCCGTACCCCCTCCCTTTGTGTGGAATGGAAGTGCCTCAGTCTCGGTAACGATTTTTTTCTGTGTTGACAAGTCACAACATGGAGATCTACAGCTCGGAGAGCAGCCCTTTGGCTACGTAGAGCCCTGCTTGCACTGAGTAATAGCAATCTCACAGGAGTTGCAAGCTTTCAGCTGGCAGCAGTTCATACGGAACAGCTCGCTGGTGCAGCTGGGAAAGACAGAGCGGAGTGGAGAGGGAGTGAGAGGGGCTGGTGGTGGTGGCTCGCAGTGGAGATGGAGGGAGGGAGGACGCGGAGAGAGGAAGAGCTGCTAAGAGCTTTGGGCGGTTTCTCTGTTGTTGTACCACACAAGTGCATCCAGGCCCTGCAGGACAAGCCTTTAACAGGCATGAGGGATGGAGAGCATGAGAGAAGTGGAGGAGGCGGCGGAAGAGGAGGTGGTGGTCTGGGGAGCTGAAGCTGGCCAGTTGTGCCAGACGCCTGATCTAAACAGGGATGTGATTTATAGTTTGCTTCTGTATTACTTTACACTAAAAACAGTAAAATTAAAGGATCTCTCCAGTTGTCTTGTAAGAAGGTGCATCCCCGACATGTGGTAAAGAAATTCTTCAGCATGTGGTACTTCATTAAGCAGTGCTTGAAGTTGGAATGTTTTTGGCAGAAAATGGGATTGCACACAGTGGTTTTTTTTACAAAGGTGCTTTTGATATGGTCTGGTTAGAAGGCCTTCATGATTTGCACATTTGCTAGCAGGCTGGTCAACATGTTGATCTTTGTCACCCCTCGCAGAACACACTGCACGGCACAGTGCAATGAGGTGACCTCACTTCCTGTGTGGGCAGAGGAGGGCAGGGGGGCTTCTGGTGCGCACATGGACACACACATTCCCTCCTGAAGCACAGCCTGGCTTCTGTTAGCCTTCAGTACACTATCCAGGCTAACCCCACTCTCCTCTTAGTGTGGAGGCTTTTCTTTTTAGCACATTTGGGCAGTAAAGATCAAGGCGAGGGCTAACCTTTTCTACACGCTGGGCTAACAGTTGCATGTCTGCAGCTTTTTGGAGCAGTAGCAGTTCAGTGGAGAGATTAAACACATTAGGCCCTTTACAAGACCGTTATGAGAAATAGGCGCACAGATCAGTCCGTCTTTATTTTTCTCTTTAGCTGTTCATGAATCGCTGATGAAGCTGACCACTTCCTGCTCAGATGTGAGTTTTCAGAGAAGAAGTGAGTAGAGGCGTGGAGAAGAAGTCAGCTGGGCTGAAGTGGAGTGCGACGCATTTGCTACATTAGTGTAGCAAATAAATGGGGGTGTTCACGTAAATGTTCACTTACTACACACAACATGCATGGGTGTTCCAGGTGTGTCAGATGTATCTCGTGTCGTTTACTAAACTTAATGAATAAAGTCATGACATTACTGAGCTGCTACACTACAGTTGTTTTCTTCACGTTGGTCGGCGTGGCTCTGTAACTGTTACTTCCTTGCTCGTCAGCACAAAGGCGAACCAAAGGTGGGCTGTCTTTAGCTCCCCTCACTGTCTCAGTGTGTCTTCTGGATGGAACGAGGCGCGCAGACTGAAATGTCTTACGAAAGAGCTTATTGAGAACAAATGATTAGGGGATGGGCAAATGCAGACACTGTATGTCCGTAAGGCTATGACAGCTCTCTAGGGAAACTGTCTCACCTCTAAAAGAAGAGTGGAAGTGTTAGACTCTGGGACAAAACCTTCTGAGAAGTTTAAAAATCACTGATGTGATGTCATCTCTTAGAAAGGTACTGTCAATGCAATGTGAGGTAATTTATGAACCTTAAAATGCACTTGAACATCTTGTCTAATTGTCTAATTATCCAGTGTTGTTGAGTTAACATTCTATTTAAACACTGTGATCATACCCCTGCTGGTACATTATAAATGAAAGATGTGTCTCTGGTTGTATCTTTCCATTGTTTACCAAGGGCATTCAAGCAATTGATTTTAACCTTGTGATGTTAATACAATTAATTAAACACTAGATATTTCTGAGGGAAGAGGTTTATGGCCTATATCCAACAAAGTTAATGTCAGGTCCTCTGGATGTTTTTTTTTTTTTTTTGTTGAAATGTTTCGTCTTTCATCCAAAAGATTTCATCAGTCCGAGGAGCCGCAACAAACTCGGTCTTATAAATAGTACTGAATAGCAATGAATAAGGATGTTAATGGCTATAGTTCCTGTTAATATCCCACAGTATACATGGAGATGAACTTGGACAAATTAGAGGTTTGAACTGAAGCGTGAATTAGAGTTGAATGCTCTAAAAAGAAATGAATCTATGGCTCTGTTCATAATTGCCTGTGTTTTCCCACACCCCACAAGTCTTTTTGAATGGAGTCCATGTTAGTTTAGATTGCCATGTCATTAATCCCTGGTACTCCACAGGGGAGTGGTCAGTGGCAGATGTATTTGCGCTTACTCCAGAAGGTTTTCTAGATTAGCACAAATCCTCCTCGAAAAACCGTTTAAAAATCTCATTTGGCACGCACAGCCAGACTTTGGGCTCAAAGCTGGCCAAAAACATTGACAGCCATTCCACCCTCTACATCTAATTCTCTTTGAGCTCCCCTGTTTTTTTTTAACCCCACACATTGTGATTCCACTTCCATGTTGATTTGGACAGGGCAGTGTAATTGTTTAGAAATGGGGCTTTGTCATTTGCATGTAGCAAGCTGCCACTTTTCCAGTTTCAGTGGTTTGACCTTGTTGTACCTGCCAGCCAGAAATGAGATCATCAGAAGAGTAGATGAGAAGCTGACATCTCTCCTCCACCTACTCGTGGCTTTAAGTGATGGTTGTCATAGCAATCATTATGCCACAGAACAGACTCGGTGCATGAAGGATGGCTTTGAATGCACCAGCCTTGGGTCACAGCCTGGTTATGACAACTGATAGACCAATGAGGGTTGGTTGCAGTAGTATGCACGCACAAAGTTAACAGCTGCATACATAGCTTGCTGAGTTTATAGATTTAATATTGGGATTTGAAGCCTGTTTTATGGTATGGAAATGGAACTGCAGGTATAGGAGTATAGACAGGAGAAGAGCAGCAAGGGGTGAACAATGCCTCTCATTCCCATCAGCTGCCCAGGCTAGCATTTAACATTGTGATTGAAAATGGAATAAGCTCCCCCTCCCCCATTCTCCCTGGACCTGCATGCATATGAACTTAGCGGTGAGCATTTCCTGCTATGCCACAACCATTCTTCTCCCCTTCTTGCCACCGCCACATTTTTTTCCTTAGTGCAAATAATGGCTTGAAAGTGCTCTGCTTTTCACGAGATGGGGACCAAGACCAATCCTGATTTGTGACCCTATCCTAAGTGACAGGCTAAAATCCAAGTAGGCACTGCCTTGGGCACTGCTGCCAAACAGCTGTCAAACCAATACCTCTACGAGGGAGGGGAAAAAGACGCCACCATGTCAAAGATTTTCTCTTTTTATCCTACTAGTTTTTCAGTTCTACTCCTGAGTGTCTTTAACAGATGCTGCCTTTATTACACCACCACTCAATCCTCCTATATACATACATATACATGTATGTATACAATTATGTTTCAGTCTGGCCTCACTTCCCACTGGACTTTGATTGTGTGAACACTGTAGGACCAAGTGTCCCTTTTACTACTCAGGCGATCTACAAACAATACATGGACGCTGCACTCCCCCACCTTCCACCCTCCTACTTTCTCTCACTTCTTTTTTGTTTTTTTTTACAGACACATAATCTCTCTTTATGAGGAGCTTCAGCATTGCGAAAACTACAGAGCAGGGAGGTGGTTTGTTCCTCTCGCATTCATTCTAAAGAAAATATAACATTTATTTAACGTTTGCTGAAAAATATAACAATTAGCTATATTTATGTTTAAAATTAGAAAATGAATTAGCCTTATCAAAAAAAACAAACCTACGAGGGAGTTATTTTAGCAGCCGGATTGCAAAGTTTAAGAGGAGAAACATTTAAAAAGTAAAAGCTTATTGAAAGTGATATAATTATCACTCGTGCTCCATGATTCATTTTACAATGCCCGTCTGTCTCCACAGAATTAAAAATTAATTATGATGTTTTGGATGTTGCACTGGACCATTTATCAAAGTGCATATTAATATTTTTTCCCCATTTACATTAAGAACTCTTCAGTTTTTATTATGTGTACCAGCAGTACTTACAAGTATCAAACTTGATAATATACATTTTCATATACTGTAATAATAAGTGAGCTCTCAAGTCAATTATTACTTAATCTTTGTTTCCCCTAGGTTACTTTATTGTGAGGCTGCTTGTCTCTTCGGCTTGTGGGAGTGTGTGGTTGGTTAGCGTAGCGCTATATCAGTGCTGGCAGTTGTCGAAGAGGTTGGGGATAGCGGAGCGCTACGTTTGTGCGCGATTGTCACAGTAGCAGGACGCTATGTTTTTATTGCACGCGGTTGTCGTGGTTTGGAGTCTGAGCCGCTATAATCTGTTTCCCTTCCAGAAGTGGCGGAGCTGCATGGGGAATGGGGGATTTGGTAGGCGGGGCGCTCTGTTCTGTTGACAGGGCGGAGGGCCCTCCTTGAATAATTGTAGGGGAATCGCTATGTCAAAAAATTGTTTTATACTTTACATTTTGTTTCATTTCCCCTGTATTTTGGCTGTTATTGACAACTCAACCATGTTGATAAAATACAGATTTTTTTGTGACTGCTCTTGTGCAGGTTGACAGTGTGGCTCATTCACTCAGACTTTTCAACTTTAGGGTTTACGTGCTGTCACAGTTCAGTCTTCTCAATAACTTTTTGAGTAGGAGGCTAATGGCTCAGAGTAGGAGGGTGGAGTTTTTTCCCAATATCAACATTACACATGTGTTCTGTGCAGTGAAAATGTTGGTGAGCGCAGACTGTTTGAACGCTGATCACTGATGGAAATGTCTTGGCAGCATCACAGGCATGAAAAGAGTCATGAAGTCATAATCAGCTGCAGCTTTCAATCAGTTTTGTAGAGCGAGATAACATACATGTTCAAGAATCTAATAAATACTTATTTCACAATGAATTTCTTTTTTCTTTATCTTGCAGCAGTCCCAGCTGAATGCATTCAGCTCACTAACTTCACTTTGTTTTATGTACAGGGTGAGAATTTATTTAGAATGTTTTGGTAAATTAAAAAGAATACAGATTATTAAAATGATTGAATTAAACTATATATATATATATATATATATATATATATATATATATATATATATATTAGGGGTGTAATGATACGCTAAAATCACATCAGTTCGGTTAATTTTCGGTACAAAAAAGGCCAAAATAATGACTTACAAAATGTTTATTTTGAAAATATGTCAAGTAAACAAATTCAGTCTTTACAGAGTTCTTAGCTGGAGGTGATCTCGTGGATGAAGAAGACTCAGCTGCTCTCATTTTCAGACTGCAAACAACACAGAGATAAAAAAAAAAAAACCTACATTGACTTAATAGGATGATAATTTTAAATAAAAAAGTTAATTAGATCACAATAATACAATAACAATACCTCTTCTTGCATGGTCATCATATGTGGTGGTTGAATATCCTCTCTCGCTCATCATCATCAGGGCAGGGCTTTAAATCTGGGCTCCGGGGCTTGTTGACGATATCAGCTTTAGCTTTTTCATAAAGTGCTGCTACAACCTTTTGGCTGAAGCGTTGACGTGATGGGATGTCGTAGGCAGCGGGGCTCAAGAACTTTAACCATATGCTTAAAACCGATGCATCAACAACATTCGGACGTAGATCCAGAGCTTTAAAAACTCTTACATCTTGTGTGTTATTGCTTTGGACCGATCTGAATGACCTGATAATTGTTGTTTAAATGCTTCTGTATAAAACCCAAACATACTAAATATCACAAATCTCTCAAGACTCACTCCCGCTCTCGATGTGACTATCGTGCCGAACTCCGTTCAACTTCTGCATCTTTTTCTTCTTCCTGTACATTGTTTGGAACTTGACAAATAACTTCGGGCCTGTGTCGCCTCCTGTGTTGTCTGTTTGGCAGGGATGGCAGGTGGAAGCGCAGGGTGATGGGGATGTTTTGTCCCTGACACTGCCCGTTTTTGCCGCAGCCTCTCGCTCTAACCTGCTTCACATAAGACGATGATTTTCAGAAACAATGTGGCATGGATTATTTATCATAACTCTGGTTTTACTTGGCCTGTCAACACAATTTAAAAACTGTGGTGTAGTTTAAAGTCTATACTTTTGACTAATTCAAATGACGTCTCTGAGAGGCAGTGTCTTTCCCACTAGAGCGACTGAAATTGGTCATGTGACTGTCATGCGCTAGAGCGGCGATTGACTCCAAAGGGAAAAAAAACCATCAGTCAAGAGTATGTGGCAAAACGCTTCCTGCCCCCGTTATTGAGAAGGTAGACAGTTACAGATGACACGCGTGACTTGTTTACAGGCGGTGGTTGTACAGGTCATAACAGCAATACATGTTTAAATGTTTGAACTACAGTTATAATAATGATAATAATAATAATTGCTCTTTGCTCCATAAACTTTCACTTCCTAAGTAGGAGTAAGTGCTCGCACTGATCATTTGATGGCACCTTGCTGGAACTGATATACTTTGGGTTTTCTTTAATTTACTGTCGCACAACAGAACATCAATGTTAAAAAAAGCTCTCCTCCTAAGTTTTATATATGATGTTAAAAACTTTAGTTGACACGTGGTAACAAAACAGCACATGGATGATCATTAACTGATAATTTACAACTTGAGTCCAAACACTGATGGGTTTTCTAGTTCACTGAACCTGTGAATACCTAAATGAGTTTTGTTTCAATAAATTAAGATTATTAGAGCTGGGCCTGTCTTTTTTCACTCAGAGTGAGATGTTCCTGCAGTGAAAATGATCTCACTCTTAAAAGGCAAAACTGGTGGTGTTTGACCTATAAATTGACAGGTTTTTGTAAGTGTTTTTTTTTTTTTGGACACAACCTGATGAGGGCTGATGCATGGCTAAACTTGACCACAAGTCCACAAAAGGCTCCTCAAATGTTTATTTTCCATTTTACAATGTATTAATTTTTGTCCAATATTTATTTATAAATTTATTATTTAATGTTGACCAAATCTTCATGTCATAGATTTCTGTCCCCAGCAGTGTACTTCTTATTAGTTAGGCCATTTACACCACTTACATAAATGACTCCAGACAGGAGGAAGGAGCTGCGGTAGCTTGGCGGTCAGCGCTTTGGTCTTGTAATCCTGAAGTTGCAGGTTTGAACCCAGGTTGCATCAGGAAGGGAATCCGGCGTAAAACAAATTGCCAAATATTTCATGCGAGTTTGCTCATTGCGGTGACCCCTGAAGAAAGGAGCAGCCAGAATAAACTTGCTTACTCCAGACAGGAGAAATAAAGACAAGTTAAACAGATGAGTTAAAAATCTGTCTGCACCAGGAAACAAGGATTGTTGGACAGAGACTTGGCTTCATCATAACTGAAATTGCAGACCCAAGTTACTTAAGGAGCAGAGAACTCTTGGGGGTCATTCAGGAACTGTGTGGTTGGATCTGAAATATCTGCTACTCGAATACAGTCGGGTTATTGTTTTTATTTCCAGACTGCAATATTTGCTGTTTACTTTTTCAAGTTGCAAAAAAACGCACCTAAAATTCTAAGTAGTTTTTGCCTTCAGCAGTGAATTAACGCATGTCCAGTATAATTATATGTTGTAAGTCTGTCATGTGATCACATATTAATTTGTGCAACATAAGAGTTTTGACTCTTGACATTGTAACGCACTCCTGGAAGTTCACTACTCATGGTTGAACACAATTAACGTTAACTGATGTATTTTGTCAGTACTAAAGGTGGATGGATAATAAAATGAATCTTTTAACATAAAAATAATTTTTTTTAATGCGGTATGCATCGCAAAGAAAACCTTTCTGTGTTGTTTAACCCCAAATTTCTGACATTTATTGCAGTTATGTATAGAGACAGAAAAAAAATATTTGGAGCTCATCTGAGTCGGTACATTAGCATTTTACTTCACATGAAAAAGAACTGCAAGGATAAGTTTAAATTTAACAAGCTACATCTTAAAGGCTAGGAAGGTGGAAACGTCGTTGTAGAGGTTGCATACTCTTTTGCTCTAAATAAATCTGTTTGCATATCATGGGAGTTCCTTTTGAAATAGTTTTTGAAAATTATCATTGTTTTCTGAATTATTTATTCAATCCATTCTGCAGATCATTGTTCAATGTTTTCTATCACCACTTTTCTGCTGCCTTGTTTTATTTCTATAGGAGCCACTTGGTGAGACATGCAACTAACAGCTGATTAAAACAAAAGAATGGGTAATATTGTTTGCGTTGTTTTAGCATATCTTAAAATATCTATTATCTTCATTCAACCCAAATAAATATGCAATGGATTTATTTTGTAGAACAGTGATTTATGACTAGTTAAATTCATAAACTTGTGTAATATGTCATTCATTTGTATTCAGCTTCTGAAACTGATTCAAAACATTTTGCTTTTCTTCTTTCTGAATGAGAAAATAGTTTCAAAACCCTACAAGTCTCTGCTTCGAATCACAGTACCAAAATGTAGCAGCAGTGTTGAATCATCGTGTATTGTCAAATGACAGAGGTGTATCATAGTAATCCTAGTTTTACTATAGTGTCACAATATAAACATGTTTGGAGTTTGTTGAAAATGTGTTTGAAAGATTGTAAAAAATGACGACATCTTAGATTTATTGATACATTTGTGTTGTTGCTCTTGATGGATCAGAGATCTGGTACCTAAAGCAGTTCAGGCCAATTGTTTTAAGTGATGTTATGAGCGATTTGTTATCTATCCATCCATCTCTCAACCATAATGTGATAAAAATAGAAAGGAAAAAAATAAACAAAGGGGGTATAGTGCACTTCATCTGCATTGAGGAATTTCAGTGGTCTCGGACCCTCAGTTGTCTCATTCTTTTCCAAGAACACTTCTCCTTCATGTTTCACCTCTGGCATGCTGCCCAAAGTACCCATAAACCATGGAGGCCAAGGCCAAAAATACACACATGGTAATTTGCACTACATTTCAGTACAACTCAGCCACCAGTATATATAGCCCTGCTGTATGAACTCTGATCTTCACCGAGCGTCTTGTCTCACCTCAGATTCCAACTACAAGATGAGTTTTATTTTTCTTTGTCCTATAGTTAGATAGGATAATACACAAAGTGAGGAAAAAAATACAAGTTAACGCAGAGTTTTCAAAACGGAGCCTAAATTATTTAAATATTTAGCTGCATTCATAAATTATGAACAACAAAAAGCACAAATTTAGACCTGCCAGAAATTGCTGTCAATACTTTAAAAGACATTGAAAACAATATGTATTGTGAAAAAGTATATAACGCCAAAAATAAAGAGCACATATATTTTTTTAGACACTAAGACAGGCGATGCTTTTTAGTCAAGAACAGCAGCCTGCCGTCATTGTTGATTTCAGAGAGGACTGATGGCATGTGGTAATGTTCCTCCTGAGCTGAAAACTTGTTTCTTGGTTTTAAGCATTATATATATTGCTCTTTGTAATTCTTTAGATAGACTGAATGATTATCTCAAAACACTGGAATAGATGCTGTAAATATTGGCATGTTTCATTTGCTGATAAAATAAACTGTTTGTTAAAAGGCTAACAGACGAACACTTTCTCTTTACACTTGTGTTAATAAAGTAGTTAGATGTACACTCTCACAAAGTTTCGTTAAAGTAAAATGTCTTTTTCCATTTGACAGTTTTCTCTGTTGCTTGTTTTGCCCATTTTCTTGGTTGATTATGTTACATTAACTTCCAATAAATAACATTGTTCAATGAACAATTTGCAAATTAAATGGTTTGCAAAGACCTCACTGATTCACAGGGAATCACTTACACAGTATTTAACAAAATTGTATTTGTGTTAGGGATGTGCGATATGGCATAAAATTCATATCCCGATATGTATTGTGAAGGGTGGCGATAACGATATATATCACGATATGTTTTTGGTATAAAACTTGCAATATAAATGAAAAAAATCATAGGGTGTCCTTTTGCCATCATTTATTTTGAAAACTGCTATACAACAAAATAATCTCAATTAAGAAAATCCCACTACTAGGTCCAGAGAGTTTTTAAATAATAAACAAATCAAGTATTAGGCTTCTTTCTTGTAGTGCAAAAGATATCAAATGTAGTTTTAGCCATATGTTTTAAACAAAATAATATGTTGTTAACTCTTAACAGTTTCCACTATTCTCACTTGAGAAATGAACAGCAACAGAGCAGCAAGTGCACGCTGGAAACACTTCACCCTCCAACCCTCTAGTGGGCGTCTCCTTCCGCTTTAAGGAGAGATGACACAAAATGGCGACCAGTTTCCTCTGTGGCTTTGACCAGAGGATCGCACAGTAAAATCACACAACACAGCGTTCTTTTCACAGATCAGAGAGCAGGTTTCTCTAAAGATGACCAACGTTTACTTTAACTTTCGATGGGAAAAAAAAACAAACAAATAAAAACGTTGGTTACGTACTGTAACCCCAGATTCTATGAATATAAGCGTAGCCCTTTAAGGCCTTCGCTTTAGTGGGTTTATCCCGTTATGCAGAGCATAAGCACTGAAAAAAAAAATTAGTCCACGCCCACCTGCTGTGTGGGCCCTACCCGGTCCGTATAAATTACGTTAAGAGCGGGAAATCGGCTCCCAAAAATAGCTTTTTTCTTCAGCCATTTAGGAGCCAGTGAGGCCCGACGCTTAAAGGGCTACGCTTATATTCATAGAATCTGGGGTTACAGTACGTAACCAACGTTCTATGTCATATAAGCTTCGCCCTTTAAGGCCTTCGCTTTAGTGGGTAAAGGGCGAAGCCGATGTGGTCCTCGCCTCACTGGGTC